GTTTTAAATCTTTCATTCTCAGTCCAGTTTGGTTCTGCCAGCACAATAGTCCAATTTTTTTTTTTTTAAATAAAGACATGAACAACATTCTTTGTTGGAAGCAGGTAAAAAAAAACACAAATACTTTGTTTTCACTTACCTCAAGTTTTATAAATGTAGTTATTTTTATTGATTTATTTTAGGTTGTTTTATTTTTATAGCCCAAGAGCCTCTTCTAACCTTTAAATCACATTTTACTTGTAAATGTCAAAATAAACTGTTTGTGCTTGCCTCTTATGTAAGCCAGCCTGTACCCACATGAGCATCCTGAGTTTAACAGCACCACCCAGTGTGTGAAAACAGCCACTAACATGGAGACAATTTTTTTTGTGTCATTCAGGAGGTGCAGAGCAAGAGCAAAGTGTGTGCCAACGTGTTCTGTGGGGCCGGCAGGGAGTGCGCCGTCAACGAGAAGGGGGAGCCGAGCTGCCTGTGCATAGAGGTGAGTTCTGATTGGACGTTATCCATCGGTATGCAATCAGGAGATGCTTGGTTTTCTGAACATTCTGTCGCTCTCTTCACAGAGCTGTAAGCCCCACAAGAGGTCAGTGTGTGGCAGCAACGGTAAGACCTACAGAAACCACTGTGAGCTCCACAGAGATGCTTGTCTCACCGGACTGAAGATCCAAGTGGCCCACGATGGACACTGCCGGGGTACGAGCGACACACAACTCCAAAAATCTCATCGTGACATCRTTCCTGTTTTCAAAATGTTTTTAAAATTCCCTTCTAAGATTTAGTCTAAACAAAAAACATCATGTCAAGAGTTTTTTCTCTTCCCACTGAGGGTAATTTCTTCCTCCACTTAAATAACTCAGGGGCAGCTCCACCTGATTTTTGGGGTGCAGATCTATAAATATTCAAATCGGCTCCAACACTTTTTTTCTCATAGGTTTTGCTCATAATGTGTTGTTAAAATAAACATCCCTCCTGTTCCTCAGCTCTGATGAGTCAGAAAACTGGTAGATGTGAAACATTTGACTGATAAATGGATGCAAGGATCTTTGTTTGAAATATAGAAATTCTCAACCTTGGTTATTTTGTTTATTGCATGTTCATCTGGACGTATTCAGCCTTTGTATAATATGACCATTTTCTGCATTTGGCACCAATAACTGCAATTTAAAACCGATATTTGGCTTTTTTTTAACTTTAATGCTTTCTGGTTTTAATTTATAGTAATGCCACAGTAAAAACAGCAYAGTTTTATTAGCCGGCATAAGAAGAAAAACATCACTGCATGCTTTTTATAAATCATTTATATTGTGTTTTTTGTATATCCTCTCACATCAGTGTCTTTTATAAAATTTATAATGCATGTGAATATTTTGCTAAAGCACCCTGACATAATTTTGYAGCGAACTGGTGCTGTAGGAATAAACTGGACTGATATGAAAAATGGGTTGGCTCATAAGAGGTTTGAGAGATAAAAAGCCATTGTTGTAAGAAATGCTTTCAGTCTAATCAGTATGTGGTACAGATGCTGATGATATTGCGCTCAGTTGATAAACTGATTAGCGTGTGATCTCTGAACTGGCACGTTTTCATGGCGCTGATAACCCGGGGGTGAATGGGTTCGCAGCGCCGCGTCTGAGGTGAACTCCTCACCTGTCACACGACAGAGCGTCATTGTTTTACTGCCCGGGCTGAACGTTGATCTGTGGCACATGAATCAAAGTGAAATCTTTATGTCACACTGACCTGCGTCATCACCTGTAAGGCTTTATTGATTGATTTCGCTTCATATGTTCATTTTATTTRTTTATTTATTTATTTTATTTTATTTTTTTAGAAAAGAAAACCAAGCAGGCAGCTGCCAATCCAGGTGAGCATGTGTTTAATATAAAATGCTGCAAATTGATCTGAACAGTTTCTGAAATAAAGCAGGCATTTTATTTTTTCCATCAGCATCTCTTAACAGTTTAAGACTGTCATCCTGTTTKAWATTAGGTTTATAAGTTATTTWAAAAAGGGCTCATTCACTACGGTTKACCAAAAATAAGAGCCAACTTAATTATAGCCGTTGACCTTTGGAAATCTTTGTACTGCTGCAGTGGTGTGCTTCGCCGCTGATCGCAACGAGTTGAGGAGTCGGGTCATCCAGTGGCTGCAGACTGAGGTCGTCCCAGACGGCTGGTTTGTAAAGGGCTCCAACTTCTCTGAAACCCTGCTGAAGTACTTTAAGGTGGGCCTCTTTCCCTGGAATTCTTGCAACGTGAAAATTCAATATTCACAAATATATAACAYATATTATTGACAATCAAATCTTAAGAACTGTGCAAAAGCTTTAACCCTCTTTTTTTATTTGTATTTTTTGTTTCCAAGCAGTCTCATTTCCTTGTATTCTTTTTAAGTGGTCTTTGTCACTGGTTCTTCAGCTTTTCTGAGACCTTTCATTAGACTTTAGCTGTTTTATCCCCAAATGTCTGTCAGTGTCAGGATATTGTGTAGCTTTTCCTTAAAGAATGGARAAAGTGAACAAGTGGATGTCAAAGAAAAAGTCCCAGGCTTAAAAACCTCACAGCAGACGAACTGTATCTTAAAGTCATGTTTCCTAAGAAACAAGAGCACAGTCCTGCAAAGATGCTGTACAGAACCCTGAAGCTCCCAGGCCTCTCGAGCTTGAAATGAAGTAGAACTGCTCAAGAAGATGAATATGGCAAGCTGGGTGATCAAGGTTTCAACTAACAGCTCTTTGAAAAGGACTTTGTTGATGCTAAAATACTGTTTTATGTCATTTTTGGTAATTTAACTGAAAAAAATGGGACCAAAATTACATTTTATGACAGAAAGTTGTTAAAGATCCGGTTTAAAACTGGTCGATCCCTTGAATTTCTGAGCTATGGCTGGATATTGTTCTCAAAGTTAGGTGGTTTATCAAAAGAAAAAATCATTTTGTCTGAAAAGTCCAAAGAAAGTCTTAAAAAAAACCTAATAATCAAAATCATAAATATTTTAAGAAAATCTGACCTTTTTTAAAGAAATAAATATACAATGAGGGCTGACTCAAGACTTTTGCACAATTTGCATGTTTTGAGTCACATTGTGTATGACACATTGAGGTTTGTTGTGTTTACCGTCTCTGCAGTCTTATGACAACGGTGACGCTCAGCTGGACTCCTCAGAGCTGCTCCGCTTCATCCAGCACAAYGACTCGGTCGTGCAGCTGCAGTCCTACGCAGACCAGGAGAGCAACAAGCTGCTCAGGTCAGTGTGTTCCACCGTCCACGTGCTTATACGTCCCTGTGTACGAGGAAGTCTGGGTGTAAGAACAGCTGTTTGCGTTTCTTTCCACGCACTTTTAAATATTTGCTCATGTGATAAAACATAGATCGTGTTTGCTAAGTCACATAGTGTAGGTTGATAAAAACCTGTCGGGACCAGAACAAACAGGTCTGAAGGCCTCCTGTGGGAGCCTGCAGTGACACAGACACCTGCGGAATAAAACACTCTCGACTAATTATCCTTAATGCTTCAGGTTTCTCTGCTGCTCGGCTGTCGCTTGTTGTAAGCAAATGCTAATTTTACTCTGCGTTTGCTTGTGTTTCCCAGGAGTCTGTGTGTTGACGCCCTCATCGAGCTATCCGACGAGAACGCCGATTGGAAGCTGAGCTTTGATGAGTTCCTCAACTGTCTGAAGCCTGGTTTCAACCCACCAGAGAAAAGTGAGTATGAAGAGATACTCTGGAATAAGTTCATGTGAAGGTTCGCTATAGATCTGCAGACTCAAATATATGAATACAGTAAAGGCCTGGGATTATTTCATGAAACACCTACTGCCTTTTTATGTCAGCCTTTTTAAACTATGATCGTCTTTTTTTTGAGAAATTACAAGTTGTTTTGATCAGATGACTCTGATACTACAAGTTTTAGCTCAGTTCACTGAGTTGTAGGCATGTTTGTGTTGACTCATATTCATTAGCTGTGGCAGCCATCTTGAATTAGATTAAAGGAAATCTAAGGTCGTATTCAGACCTGATAATTTGCTCCGCTTTAAACAAACGAGAGTTCGTTTCCAGCGTTGGTCCGAACCTTTTGTGCAGGTGTGAATACACTCTTGCGAACTCTGGTGCGGATCAAACAACCGGACCGAGACCCGCTTTTTGAGGTGGTCTCGGTCCGCTACCAAATGAACTCTGGTGCGGTTCACTTCAGTTTGCTTCTGGTGTGAATACAGACCGGACTCGAACCGAACC